GTTCAGGTTCAAAAAGAGAAAGGGAAATTCGTCATCGTACGTTTACGTCCTTCATAAAACGTCGCATTAGGAAGTTTCACGTCGTAGTCGTACAGTGGACGTCAAAGAAATGCACTTAAAACGGTGATACACGTGTAGAGCTGTTGTTCTGCTCATAAATCCGATTGTGTTTTGACGTTGTCGTTTTCGTCGTGGTGGTGGTTGCTAAAGCTCCCTACTTGCACTTTTACGGCGCCAGTAAAGTAGAATAGGAAAACATCTAAAATTAAGACAAAGTTTCAGTAACTTAAGTTTAGCTATAAGTCCCCTGTCCAAGATGTCCCCCTTAAAGAAGGAAACGTTAGAAAAGCGTTTCTATCCTGAGATTCTTTGCGAGATGGTTTGATGTCCAGATTGTCTCGTACAGGTGAGTGCTTTCCTTCAAAAGTATTTACCACGATGGCGCTTTGTGAAAAAGGAACTAGTAACGTTGAAGGCAAACCACTGGGTTTAATTGCAGATTCTTTTGTCTCTGCTGTGTTGTGAGGCGAGTTTTGTTTCCTCAACTCTCTTGTTATATCGTGTAATCCTTTCTTTCTGTCCTTGGGTTGTCTTATTTTAGTAGACCCAGCACTACTCTCACATCTCCGTATTTCAAAGTTCAAGCTTTGCGCTCGGTCCCTAGAATTTGCATCTGCGGACGGGTCTCCTCGAAAAGCCTTCTTCCTTGCTTCAGCCTTTCCAGAATCAAAATTGAGGCTTTGCGTTCTACCTCGAGCAATCCAATCCGAGAGGATTGTTCCCCTAGTTTTACTCTCCTTTGACAGTGACGGTAAAAGTTCAGCAGTTTTTCTGACTTCCATCGAAATATTGTACCTACTAAAGTACAATTTTTTTATTTGTTTTTTGTTGTATTGGCCTACATTCATTGTCTCATTGTTAAGTGGTGTATACTTCATCAACAACCGTTCCTTCTCCTCAGCTTTAGTAATTTTTGGAGTCGCTGTATTGGAAATTTTCCTGCGAAAAACAACGTCTTTCCCTAGTGGAGTCTCACCCACTACAATTCTTTCCTTTACCGACGTCTTTCGCTGTTTTTCATTCGCTTGAGAAGCTGTATTACACCTCTCGCTTATTTCAAGAGAACCTAGTTCGACACGTGTAGCAGCAAATGAAGACGACACTTTTCTCTGTACGTTCCAGGCATCTTTGCCCTCTTTCTCCTCCATTGTGACCTGAATTATTGGCAGATTAGGTCGGCAAACTGTGCTATGCTTTTTCAGTTGATTAGTAGAAGGAGCGTTCTTATAAACAGATGTCTTCCGTAGTAGATATTCTTGACCCCTACCGCTGAGCGCGGCAACAAAATGCGGAGAACCTCTTGGTACAAACGTTGTAGGAATACTTGGTACGGCTTTCAGTCCGGTTGCTCCTGAGTATTTTCTCATTTTCTTCATTGTTCACTCGACTTTGTTTACCTTGCGCAATTTTGATGAGACTGTCAGAAAACTGTACTTCGTGCAGCTTTTTTCGGTCCTGCCAGCGGCTGAGAATTGTTGCTCTTTGTCTCTAAGGCCGACGTGGGGCAACTTTTCCAATGCTCACTTTAGTTGACGATATACTTGATTCTTTTCCAGTTGCGATACTTCTCCAAAAACAAACGACTTAAAGTTGCAAACTCAATTGCTCAACACAACAAGTCAGTGAGGTGTTCGCCAACTGGACACGACATGCGACGTACACTTTTTGTCTCTGTGGAAACCAAATAGTACAATGAAAAATCTCAGGAGAGTACATCAAAAGCAGTTTTCACTGATTACACTCGGTTATGCATTTAATTGCTATGCCAGTTCTCGCATCTTCTTGATAACGCGATTTTTACTTTTTGCGATTAACAGATAAGCACTTTTACTTTGTCAATTGACTCTATTCATTCTTCACTGAAACACCTTTTGCAAAAATTCGAATTTTTAATTCTCAGTTCATTCCAGGTGAAAACTAATTTCAGTCCTAGTTTGCACAACAACTGAACAACTGAACTTAGTTCTTTTGTTTTCTGGATCCTCGCATTGTTTTTGTCCAGCAGGCTTTGTTTTGTCTTTGGTGTACACAATGGCTTGGACAAGGAGTTAATGAAATGTAAGTGGATCCAGAGGTAAACGAAGCGTGAATTTATTAACTAGTCCCACAAGATGGATGAGATGTTGTGGTCATTTTATTATGTTACAACACTTTTCGTAATCGCTTGACGACATTTAGTCTATCATTTCTGCACTGAGATTACTGTTCTTATGGACGTTTTCGTATTGTTGTTAATTAAAGTAAACATCTCTTTGATTGGCAATTTACCTTAGAAAAGTTCGGCAAACTTGAACGTTCAGTTTAAGACGGAAAAAAATCTTGAGTAACATCGACTGATGAAACCAAGTTTGTGAGCCTTAGAATACATCAACGTCCATCAAAACTAAGTTTTTCACTGGAACCGTTGGTCACAAAATCTTTTCCAGTCGTTACATGTGATCTGGTGCGTTCAGTTTAAAAGAGATGCCCCCAAAATACACCCTCTCACGGTTTTTTTCAACTTTTGACATGGACAAGTTAGTGAAAATCTGTCGACACCACTGGAAAGAGCGCATTAAAATTAGCAAAATTGCCAAGTTTCAAAGTGATTTGTTAAAACTAATGAGGTCATAGCACCTCAAAGTCGCGAAATTTTATACTTGTTCCCCACCATAAAAACGTCTGTAAATTTTCTTTACTTTGCGGAACTGTATATTTGCTCTCTTCTGACGTATCAGTTTCAAATTTGGCCATGTTACTAACTTTAAGGCGCTCTTTTCATTGGTGTCGACGAATTTTCCCAAACTTGTCCAAGTCAAAAGTCACGAAGAAACCGTGGAAGGGTCTATCAATGCTCATGCGTTTCGCGCACAATGGCCCGTGACAAGAGAAACCCTCTTCCTATGCTTATTATTGCTTATACGCTTCTGTACAGAAGAGCTCTGGGGTCATACTTATAACTCTTCATGTGAAAGATACAGCTAACCCGCAACTAAGAACCTGTGAGGCTAAAATATGAAACAGGTTCTTATTTTCTCAAATCTATCTATATATTTGTAAATTCTGTACACTTGGGCAAATAAGCTAGGTCAACATTCAGAATGCTCTTTGGAAACACAGATGTCTTGACACTCCAACTGCAATGTAATGGCATGCGATTTTATATACTAGGAATAAGCTGATTATGCACCACTAAATACTCTTAGCTTCAATGTAATTTTTCCTCAGAAAATAAGAAAGTATTTAAGAACCTAAAAGCCTAAATTTGTGCTAATTACCATTTATGTAGGAACCTGTTTAGGCTAACTTGGAAAAATACAGGTTCTTAGCCGCGGTTTTTACTGTATATGAACTTTCATTTGTCTGACGGTTTGAAAGGTCTTTCATATGTAAAATTTAACCATTCATGGCATCGAAGAGTGTCCAGCATCTAGAAAAATAAAACTGCTAAATCGAACGCAAAGTCTTAAGAGAAAAAAAGGAAATGATTGCCTAGCGACAGCTGGAGCGAGGGAAACATTAATTGTTCAATCAATCTACCGGTCAGTAACATGGGAAGTGCATAATCGAGGAACTAGATTTTTCATCCGAAGGGTGCTGATATTAAGGGTTAAAGGGAGAACTTTAAACTTCTGTGTAAAACACTAGAAAAAGAAATTGCTCCATAGAAAATTGCCGCTTGGGAGATATCAACTTCGAACTTAATCGGAAGTACCGGTTCGGACATTACAACATGCGAAAGGAATGGTCAAAATCTTTAATCCATCCACAAGCTTGGCCTATAGTTTGGCGTCTGCTCAATATTGAAAATAAAATCTCTTGTTGTTGTTGTTGTTTTTTTTTTTTAATTTTTTTTTAACTTTGTCGCCTTCATTCCACGTCGCGTAACTTAATTTCTTGGGGACCTTACCCAAGTCAAAATTTTGTTGCCTATTTCTTGACGTTCTCGCTGCTGACCTTTGCCGTCGCCATTGCCTAGCTCCCAAAAGAGAGTTTTAGTTCAATGGAAGGTTTAAAACACGGCCGAAATTCGCGTTTTTGAAACTTTGTCGTGATTATTCAAACTCGCTTGGAATGTCAAATGGATATCGCCTGCAGTTATATATTTTAGGGGTACACTCTAATTTTAGGAAAAGAAAGAAAAATTCGTCGTCGTGTGTTTACGTCCTACATTGAAAACGCCGCACCAAAAGGAAGTGAAGTCAGAGCGCCCAGTGCCTTGAATTTCATCAATTAAAAGTATTACTGTAACAAAATCTGTTCACAAAAAATTGAGAATTCATCACGGTTTGCCACAAAAATAAAATATAATAAAAGAGGAAATACGACTAAGTTCGTTTAAATCCAGTATGAATGAACTAAATCCCTTTACTTCATGTTGCGCATTATGCGACTGAGTAAAATGTATAAAGAATAAAAACAAACATTTTTACCTTTAAACCAAGAAGACACTAAAGTAGTATTCTGCTTTGTTTGCAAAGCAGGGAAATGCTTTTTGATGGATAAACAGAGGACTAGATTTTCACCGCAACACAGTGACGGCGGCGGCAGTGAAAACGTCGCTGAAAATAGAATTTGCGTCCTTCCAAATTTTAACGTGTCTATTTGAAACCTTTCAAGTAAAATGTGAGCGATTTCTCCTAGAGTCGAATTCTTAAGGACTTTGTTCAGGTTCAAAAAGAGAAAGGGAAATTCGTCATCGTACGTTTACGTCCTTCATAAAACGTCGCATTAGGAAGTTTCACGTCGTAGTCGTACAGTGGACGTCAAAGAAATGCACTTAAAACGGTGATACACGTGTAGAGCTGTTGTTCTGCTCATAAATCCGATTGTGTTTTGACGTTGTCGTTTTCGTCGTGGTGGTGGTTGCTAAAGCTCCCTACTTGCACTTTTACGGCGCCAGTAAAGTAGAATAGGAAAACATCTAAAATTAAGACAAAGTTTCAGTAACTTAAGTTTAGCTATAAGTCCCCTGTCCAAGATGTCCCCCTTAAAGAAGGAAACGTTAGAAAAGCGTTTCTATCCTGAGATTCTTTGCGAGATGGTTTGATGTCCAGATTGTCTCGTACAGGTGAGTGCTTTCCTTCAAAAGTATTTACCACGATGGCGCTTTGTGAAAAAGGAACTAGTAACGTTGAAGGCAAACCACTGGGTTTAATTGCAGATTCTTTTGTCTCTGCTGTGTTGTGAGGCGAGTTTTGTTTCCTCAACTCTCTTGTTATATCGTGTAATCCTTTCTTTCTGTCCTTGGGTTGTCTTATTTTAGTAGACCCAGCACTACTCTCACATCTCCGTATTTCAAAGTTCAAGCTTTGCGCTCGGTCCCTAGAATTTGCATCTGCGGACGGGTCTCCTCGAAAAGCCTTCTTCCTTGCTTCAGCCTTTCCAGAATCAAAATTGAGGCTTTGCGTTCTACCTCGAGCAATCCAATCCGAGAGGATTGTTCCCCTAGTTTTTCTCTCCTTTGACAGTGACGGTAAAAGTTCAGCAGTTTTTCTGACTTCCATCGAAATATTGTACCTACTAAAGTACAATTTTTTTATTTGTTTTTTGTTGTATTGGCCTACATTCATTGTCTCATTGTTAAGTGGTGTATACTTCATCAACAACCGTTCCTTCTCCTCAGCTTTAGTAATTTTTGGAGTCGCTGTATTGGAAATTTTCCTGCGAAAAACAACGTCTTTCCCTAGTGGAGTCTCACCAACTACAATTCTTTCCTTTACCGACGTCTTTCGCTGTTTTTCATTCGCTTGAGAAGCTGTATTACACCTCTCGCTTATTTCAAGAGAACCTAGTTCGACACGTGTAGGAGCAAATGAAGACGACACTTTTCTCTGTACGTTCCTGGCATCTTTGCCCTCTTTCTCCTCCATAGTGACCTGAATTATTGGCAGATTAGGTCGGCAAACTGTGCTATGCTTTTTCAGTTGATTAGTAGAAGAAGCGTTCTTATAAACAGATGTCTTCCGTAGTGGATATTCTTGACCCCTACCGCTGAGCGCGGCAACAAAATGCGGAGAACCTCTTGGTACAAACGTTGTAGGAATATTTGGTACGGCTTTCAATCCGGTTGCTCCTGAGTATTTTCTCATTTTCTTCATTGTTCACTCGACTTTGTTTACCTTGCGCAATTTTGATGAGGCTGTCAGAAAATTGTACTTCGTGCAGCTTTTTTCGATGCTGCCAGCGGCTGAGAATTGTTGTTCTTTGTCTCTAAGGCCGACGTAGGGCAACTTTTCCAACGCTCACTTTAGTTGACGATATACTTGATTCTTTTCCAGTTGCGACACTTCTCCAAAAACAAACGACTTAAAGTTGCAAACTCAATTGCTCAACACAACAAGTCAGTGAGGTGTTCGCCAACTGGACACGACATGCGACGTACACTTTTGTCTCTGTGGAAACCAAATAGTACAATGAAAAATCTCAGGAGAGTACATCAAAAGCAGTTTTCACTGATTACACTCGGTTATGCATTTAATTGCTATGCCAGTTCTCGCATCTTCTTGATAACGCGATTTTTACTTTTTGCGATTAACAGATAAGCACTTTTACTTTGTCAATTGACTCTATTCATTCTTCACTGAAACACCTTTTGCAAAAATTCGAATTTTTAATTCTCAGTTCATTCCAGGTGAAAACTAATTTCAGTCCTAGTTTGCACAACAACTGAACAACTGAACTTAGTTCTTTTGTTTTCTGGATCCTCGCATTGTTTTTGTCCAGCAGGCTTTGTTTTGTCTTTGGTGTACACAATGGCTTGGACAAGGAGTTAATGAAATGTAAGTGGATCCAGAGGTAAACGAAGCGTGAATTTATTAACTAGTCCCACAAGATGGATGAGATGTTGTGGTCATTTTATTATGTTACAACACTTTTCGTAATCGCTTGACGACATTTAGTCTATCATTTCTGCACTGAGATTACTGTTCTTATGGACGTTTTCGTATTGTTGTTAATTAAAGTAAACATCTCTTTGATTGGCAATTTACCTTAGAAAAGTTCGGCAAACTTGAACGTTCAGTTTAAGACGGAAAAAAATCTTGAGTAACATCGACTGATGAAACCAAGTTTGTGAGCCTTAGAATACATCAACGTCCATCAAAACTAAGTTTTTCACTGGAACCGTTGGTCACAAAATCTTTTCCAGTCGTTACATGTGATCTGGTGCGTTCAGTTTAAAAGAGATGCCCCCAAAATACACCCTCTCACGGTTTTTTTCAACTTTTGACATGGACAAGTTAGTGAAAATCTGTCGACACCACTGGAAAGAGCGCATTAAAATTAGCAAAATTGCCAAGTTTCAAAGTGATTTGTTAAAACTAATGAGGTCATAGCACCTCAAAGTCGCGAAATTTTATACTTGTTCCCCACCATAAAAACGTCTGTAAATTTTCTTTACTTTGCGGAACTGTATATTTGCTCTCTTCTGACGTATCAGTTTCAAATTTGGCCATGTTACTAACTTTAAGGCGCTCTTTTCATTGGTGTCGACGAATTTTCCCAAACTTGTCCAAGTCAAAAGTCACGAAGAAACCGTGGAAGGGTCTATCAATGCTCATGCGTTTCGCGCACAATGGCCCGTGACAAGAGAAACCCTCTTCCTATGCTTATTATTGCTTATACGCTTCTGTACAGAAGAGCTCTGGGGTCATACTTATAACTCTTCATGTGAAAGATACAGCTAACCCGCAACTAAGAACCTGTGAGGCTAAAATATGAAACAGGTTCTTATTTTCTCAAATCTATCTATATATTTGTAAATTCTGTACACTTGGGCAAATAAGCTAGGTCAACATTCAGAATGCTCTTTGGAAACACAGATGTCTTGACACTCCAACTGCAATGTAATGGCATGCGATTTTATATACTAGGAATAAGCTGATTATGCACCACTAAATACTCTTAGCTTCAATGTAATTTTTCCTCAGAAAATAAGAAAGTATTTAAGAACCTAAAAGCCTAAATTTGTGCTAATTACCATTTATGTAGGAACCTGTTTAGGCTAACTTGGAAAAATACAGGTTCTTAGCCGCGGTTTTTACTGTATATGAACTTTCATTTGTCTGACGGTTTGAAAGGTCTTTCATATGTAAAATTTAACCATTCATGGCATCGAAGAGTGTCCAGCATCTAGAAAAATAAAACTGCTAAATCGAACGCAAAGTCTTAAGAGAAAAAAAGGAAATGATTGCCTAGCGACAGCTGGAGCGAGGGAAACATTAATTGTTCAATCAATCTACCGGTCAGTAACATGGGAAGTGCATAATCGAGGAACTAGATTTTTCATCCGAAGGGTGCTGATATTAAGGGTTAAAGGGAGAACTTTAAACTTCTGTGTAAAACACTAGAAAAAGAAATTGCTCCATAGAAAATTGCCGCTTGGGAGATATCAACTTCGAACTTAATCGGAAGTACCGGTTCGGACATTACAACATGCGAAAGGAATGGTCAAAATCTTTAATCCATCCACAAGCTTGGCCTATAGTTTGGCGTCTGCTCAATATTGAAAATAAAATCTCTTGTTGTTGTTGTTGTTTTTTTTTTTTAATTTTTTTTTAACTTTGTCGCCTTCATTCCACGTCGCGTAACTTAATTTCTTGGGGACCTTACCCAAGTCAAAATTTTGTTGCCTATTTCTTGACGTTCTCGCTGCTGACCTTTGCCGTCGCCATTGCCTAGCTCCCAAAAGAGAGTTTTAGTTCAATGGAAGGTTTAAAACACGGCCGAAATTCGCGTTTTTGAAACTTTGTCGTGATTATTCAAACTCGCTTGGAATGTCAAATGGATATCGCCTGCAGTTATATATTTTAGGGGTACACTCTAATTTTAGGAAAAGAAAGAAAAATTCGTCGTCGTGTGTTTACGTCCTACATTGAAAACGCCGCACCAAAAGGAAGTGAAGTCAGAGCGCCCAGTGCCTTGAATTTCATCAATTAAAAGTATTACTGTAACAAAATCTGTTCACAAAAAATTGAGAATTCATCACGGTTTGCCACAAAAATAAAATATAATAAAAGAGGAAATACGACTAAGTTCGTTTAAATCCAGTATGAATGAACTAAATCCCTTTACTTCATGTTGCGCATTATGCGACTGAGTAAAATGTATAAAGAATAAAAACAAACATTTTTACCTTTAAACCAAGAAGACACTAAAGTAGTATTCTGCTTTGTTTGCAAAGCAGGGAAATGCTTTTTGATGGATAAACAGAGGACTAGATTTTCACCGCAACACAGAAGATTTTCTTCTCTTTTGATATATAGTCTAAACACCAGGTGCGAAAGCTTTTAAATGAAGGATGCTTTTTTGTTTTTAAACTAGAGAAGACTAATAATCATATGAAAGACACTAACACAGTAGCGAGCCGTATCCGTTTGAGATCCAGCAGCAACAACTAATGGCGTAGAAGAACGCCCAAACAGAGCCCAGTGCGTCATGATGAACGCACGGGCAAACACCTCAGGGAGTTTTCTTCTCATTTTCAGTGCGAAGTGGTAACACAGGCCAGGATAAAAAACGTCATTAACGCTTAATTTGAATATATTTCCTGCATTTATTACGAAAAAAAAAAAATAATACATTAATTGCTACGTTCTTTTTTCTTTAATTTCCGATAAATTGCCGGATTGCGTTGAGAAATCCGTATCTATAGCTCGCTTTTTCAGAAATTTAAAGTACATGAGTCTTCCAAAGTTTTGTTATTCTGCAAGACACTGGTTATGTATATCAAACTCGCAAAAACAAAGACCCGAGCCCCGATGTTCAGAAAGTTTCTCTCGTTTGGCGCGCGTCAATTACGGCCACTTCAATTGTCCTGATGAATTGTCCACATAATTTCCTTTTTAAAAAAAATCAACGCGGCCAACCGCCAAGAAATTTTAGCTCTTCCTAAATGATCACCTTGTTGATACGGCCACTCAGAACTCAAAATCATCGTTAATTCTAAAGGACAAACAAGAGACAAACGATAAGAAATCCTAAGAAAAATAACGAATTCCGCTGACTGTAATATTTCTGTGTAATCTATTATCATCGGCGTATTTTTTATTTCTAATTTATTTTATAGCCAATGTTTTTTGTAAATTCAGCGATGATATGTAATCCTACCCCGCTAATACTGCCACTCCGTCATACGAGAAAATTCTTATGATCAGTAAGTGACTTAATGATTGAGGGGGTTCCACTGTATTAAAGTGAAACACAAGGCCTAGTTATAGGCTCCATGAATAAAAGCTGTATTAAGCGGACACTTGCGCTGCCCTCGAGCTAAACAAACAGGTGTCTGCTAAAAGTAACCAAAAGAGGTGGCTGGAAAACTGATTTGTTTTACAGCCAGAAAATATGGATAGTAACAATTATAGCTTTCTTCAAAAAAGAAGCGCACCTAAAAAGAACAGCGGTCTACTGTGGCAAGTCAGGCCTGTGTCTATCAAACCAAATCGGCAGTAAAAAAGAGTTGACTGAACTACAAAACAGTGTCCATGACTGCCAATGCGGCCAGCTGGGGAACATGGCTGTGTACCAGTGCATAAGGTCCGTAAGGTACTATTGGATAATACCGCGTTCCCCGACGCTGGAAGGAGTTGTGCAGTCTCAGTTGGTTTCTTTTTACTCTTTCTTGTTGTCAACCAGTCGGAGGCTTCACTAAAACTCTACCTTACGCCTACCCCGTTTACACACAAGACCACATTTGTTCGTCCCAAACTTGACGCGCACCTCGATCCTTAATAGACGACCAATTTGGTCGTACCCCTTGAGTGGTCGTTTATTTGGGGACTTGCTCGCACTCTTTTTTTACTTTATACGATTTCTGTTGCAGGTTATCTGATTTCTCGCGATGTGCCTTGGGAATGTGACTAAGGAAAACCTTGTGACTAGATCCGAGTCGAAGAAAGTCGCTGGATTAAAAGTTGGACCGGTAACTCGCCCCATGTAGCGTGCCCCGTATTCGGAAATCTGGGAAATTTTTTGCTTTTGGAAACCAGAATCCTGGGCTCAAAAGAAATCCGGCACTCCGCTTAAGATTGGAGTCCGGAATCTGAGGGCTCTTTCAAAAAGTCCGAACTGGCCGGACGGCCGGATCATAGCCCGACCAGTCATTTTGACAATGAAAAATGCTTTTTTCCAAGAGTTTTGTTGGAACGCCATCTCCTTCGTGTATGCTATTTAGGATCTGGTTGGATAGTTTTGGATAGTTTTGAATAAAAGTGAAATTCTCATTATGATTGGAATGGTCTGCTGGCCGGTCAGTTCTACCGAATGGAAAGCGCCCCGAGTTCCACTTAATGGCATCCAGTACCCGGAATATGGAATCTCTCAGCATGGAATCCGGAATTTAAGACTGTCTTGGATGACCGGGCGAGGAAAGCTGCTCAGTGTCCTAATTAAGACTACTATAAATTTAGGTATTCGAATTATCGGACGCTGAAATATCATCTCTATATACAATGAATGGCTAGTTTATCGAGCGGTTTGCCAGTCTATGCTAAATCACTGATACATTATTTATTGAAAACTGAATAGCGTGTAGAAGCAGGATGGCAATCATGGGAGGAAGTAAAGACCGTTGCAGCTAACTGAGATAGGTGAAAGCACTCTGTGACAGCCTTATGTGCCACGAGGCGCGAAGAGGATCGCTGAGGTGAGGTGACTGTGAGGTCAATAGCGTGTGTTCTACGTAGCTTAGGCTTAGTAGCGTTATAATAATGCTGAGCGACGCATTGTCAAATATTTTTTATTGCCAATTTGTTTTATTGATTTTCTTTTACAGGCAATAAAGAATGAATGAGCAGTGAGATTTTATTGACAATACATTGCGATAGAAATCCGAATGGGTGGCCGTCTTGTTTAATTCCGCACCGTTTTGGTCTATTTTCTCTCAACAGGAAAAGCAAGCGTAATTCTTTTTAATGTTTCTTTGGGAGGAAACCCCTAAGTTTGTAACAAATAATGCTGGGCGAAGTGTCCGTAGATCAGAGCGGTTGATGTAAATTTTTTCAACTGAGTCCAACTCTAACAAAGGAGTTTCTTACATAATGATTTAGTTCTTTTTGTTTATTGTTTTCACCTCTAATCCAATGGCCGTTTCTTTTAAAAATATCTCAAAATTATGACGTAGTTTCCAACTTGATAATCATCACTACTAAAACGCCAGCAGTTTAAAAAGCGTATCGACGTAATACGCTCTAAAACACAAGCACGTAGTAATTGGGGGACCACATTCGTTAATTCCTGAAATAAACACAAAATGTGTCACAATCAATTGCTTTTGTGAAAGTAACCGTTATATTGGGTCGCATATTACAATAGGTTTTGTTCATAGCTCATTAAGAAGAAAGCCCCAATGAACTACCATGCATCATTTGCGAAAGCATAGTCAAAAATAGCGGCATGCGTATGAGTTGTAAGTGTAGTTCCTTGTAGGAGGACACAAGAGCACAGAAAGAGTGTTGAAGTGGTTTAAGGGAAGTTAAGAGTTTCGGACGGGTCGATCTCATTTGTGCGGTATACGACGAAAACGAAATGGCAGCTTTCGCAAACTGTCTTAAGGTTAATTCGCCTCAGTACTGCCGAGTATTACAGCAGATGAATATTTCAACGCCATCAATCCATGTTACGAGCTTTGATGACGATGCGTACAACGAAAACATGCAAAGAAAGTTAGACGACCCAACTTGGGCTGAACTGGAAGACAAATCCAAGACAGAATCGGCTGAAGCGATGGTGGAAAACTCTTTGGATGATGATAAAAACAAGCAAGAAAGCGGTTTATGTTTTGCTAATGTTAATGCTAATAGCAATGATGGTGTTAGCAAAAACGGATCTCATGAAGAAGAGAACACAACTATGTTAGAAAGCCACGAACAAACAGTAAAAAGTCATCAACCATCGACTAATGAAGGAAGTGAAGTCTCCTCGAAAACTCCAACAGAGATTGAAAACAACCAAGTAGAAACAAAGAAAGACAATTTGAATAAACAAGGCGCTACTGAACAACTTAAGACATCCGTTTCAAGGAAAGCGAGAAAGACTTCTTGGAGCTCAAGCGATACGCAGCGAAATGGTTTGATAAAAAATCCTTCTCCACCGCGGCGAAGATATACGGTGGGTTCAGTTTCTGGGGACAATAAAAATTACAATGAGTCACAGAATAATTCAAACCTCAACAAAAGGAGGTCTGTCCAAAGCCTTGGATCCACACCATTAAACAGTCGCTTGATTACAGGTGAAAGTAAACACTCCCCTGAAATTATGATCAACAAAAAGAAATCAGAACGAATCGATTTGTCTTTTAAAATTGACCCAAGGAAAAGATCGCAAACTTGCGGAGAGCTCGCTAGCATTGAAAATAACAGTGGAGATACGACACCGGAGAAAGACTCCCGAAGATTTGACGGCGATCACAGGGCTGTAGACAACGTTCATTCGGCCCTTGCCGGATCTCCACCGAGGTCTCCAAAAGTGCCAGTGAGGAAAATCTCTGAAAATAGCTTGTCTATTCTGAAGAATGCAGGTGTAACCACAAACACGGACGAAAATTATTCACTAAGTTCTCCCGTGAGGCGAGTTTCTACGTCAATAATTGAAGGGGCGAATTCACCATCAAATTCTCGAGTTAGATCTGTGGCAGACAAGGGGATAGCACAAAGTTTAAACTTAGCATCTCCACCGCAAATGCGTAAATTTAGCTCCCCGAAGCCACCATCGGGGGAAAGACATGCACAGCTAGCCGTCAGAGCAAATCGCTCTCTAAGTAAGTCTGCTCTGGATCTCCGCAAGATTGGATCTGAAGAAGAAACTGTCGAAGTAGGAAGACCCGCTAGTGTGTCGTCCCCACCACATCCGCACAGAGCTAGTTCATCTCTGGGTATCAGTGTTAGCCTTTCCATGAGCAAGTCTGAAACTGATCTTCGCAAGCTTGTGTCTGATGAAGAAGAGATGGAAAGAAGAGGAAGTTTGTCAGCTCACTCATCGCCTCGCATGTTGCGCCGAAGTAGCAATTGTCAAATTCAAAAAAGTGCACCAACCTGTCCTGTGACTCCCCAGCAGGAGCGCAAGATTTTTATGGCAGCTGCCAAGCAAGAAGCGCGCCTACCAACACGGGCCAAGGCCAGGAATGACCTTCAAGCTACATCACAGCTGATAATTGAACAGGCAGAGAAGGAACTGAACAAGTTCAGCGAGCGCTTGCCGCACATCTCTATGGAACAAGTGATGAAAACTTGGCAGATCACAAACAGCAGGCATTGGAATATGGTATCAACTGTAGTGAATCCACATGCAAAAGGGAAAAATAGTGGGACAAATATGGAAGAGGTTAAGGACTGCAGATACGTACGGGAATCTGTAGTAACGCAGAAGAAGAAAAAGTTTTCACGCTAATAAGCTGCCTCGTTCCCACGCGTTTTCGGCTTGGTCAAACCTGGACTCTACCGTGAGATATGACGTCACCGAGAGAGACTCGCCTACCTTTTCCCAGACTTCGCGCAGACAACGGGCAAGAGAGAACGCTTAGTGACTGGGCGTACTAAAAAGTATACTGAGCGTTTTCACTCACGTGACCAGCATCTATACAGAGTTTAACTCCCAAAGAATTGGCTTGGAGAACCCAACGTAGCCTCGTTTCATTGTTTTGAAACACCAATATGGCCGCTGTGGAGTCATGTGAAAACGCTCTATAAGCACATTTAAATATTGACGTAATCTAGTAAACTGAACTACCAAGCCGAAGCGAGGCAACAAGCAGTCAATTCAACTCAATGCCAATCAAGGCTTACCGCTAATATCTCGGCATAGCTATAAATGCTAAAAGACCGTCAACGTAAACAAGAACTATATTATTTTTTCAAAATTTATAGAAACGTTGACGGGAAAGATTTCTCAAAGGTTGTGTTTCACGAGATACTCTGCACAATTCACCACAGCTCACGCAAAAGACTCACCCCTCAATCAAAGGATGTGAATGCTTAGTGCAAAAGAAGGAACACACATATCATGACAGAAGCATATAATATGACCATGACCATTGCTGATGTTTTCATATTCACTAAATAAAGATGAGAATTTAGGGGTTTTATCGATTGTCAATTAATTATGTGTGGCTTTAGTAGTCCAAAAACGGACTTGCGTCCTAAGTAAAAGCGGCTTTGCACTGGCACATAGTTAAACAACCTGTTCATTTGAGAGTAACGATCGAAAATGTACTCGCTCCTCCTTCAGCTTTTTTTTTTTGTACAATTGATTAGGTTTTTTTCTTTCTCCCTAAACTTGGATGCGATCCATTAGATTACAAGTCCAGGAAATTCACTTAAATTGGCAAATTACCGAAGTGAACTTTAATTGTCGCGATGAACTACTCCGATACTGAGCAATTTCTCCATTTTCCGAAGTAAGTCTTGAAGATAGACCTTTTCGCGGGCGCCACAGTTGATAATCAAATTGTTTGCCACCACACACGCGTCGTTCCAGAAGGCTAATCTTAAGGGAGAAACACTTTTTATATCACGGTACTGATCTTTTTTTTCGTGATATGTACTTGAGCCGTGGGCATGAGGATAACCCTGAAGATCGTTTGGTGACAAAATTATCGACTGAAGGAAATGGCTGACCTATATGTTTCTAAGTTAACATGAGTGTGTACTTTCCTGAGGTCAGCCCAGTTAACGAAGGGAACTGAGTAACTGGACTCTTCTTTCAGCCACGCAACAACACGAAATACGCGTGCACAGCTACAAAGTTTGTCAGAAATAAACACTCGATCTGTTGACGGGGTATCCAGATCGAGGGGGCAATATGAACAGGTTCTGGAAGGAGAGGGGGGATCCCGCATTCCTGTTCCTTATTCACGAAATCCCGCATCCCGTCTTTTTTTTTTATCGCCTTCTCGAATACCGGTTTTTTTTAAATACTAATTGCTGTAAAACCCGTTTAAAAATGTAAGATATAGATTGGCTCTTTCGATTGATACAGGAGAGAATGATCTAGCTCATTCTCTCTTAATTGATATTACAAATTTACGCGTGTTTTAACTTGCCATTGCAAAAAAGAAATTGGTTTTCATACTTCAGTATGACGAAACGGAGGGGGAAAGGAGGAAGAAAAGAAGAGGGAGAGAGGAGGGTTTCTTCACCCTCACTCCCAACTCCAGCCCCCTTGATGTTTTTTTCCTGCTAACTATTCTTTGCGCATGCGCCGCCCCGTGGGGCAAAAAGAATACAACCTACTCCCGGAAGACATTCTCAAGCTTTAAAAGGAAAGTCGCCGCCCACCTTCTTGGAAACACTTTAGCTTCTTAAACTGAATCGAATCACATTTTCCATAACAGTATAACTCATGTATATATTTCTATTAGTAACACATGTAAATATTTTTGCTCGGATGTGATCTTAATATTGTATATTTTAATTGTATTACGACAGAATAGCCCCGTATAGAGGAGTCACCCGCGTAATAAAGTGTATGTTACCACCTGCACGCCTGGAAAAGGCTGTGTTTTCCCGGATCCCGAAATTACTCTTCTGTTAGCTATCTCCTGGTCTTCCCGGTCGGAAATTAAATGACGCTGGCGGCTGTTCGCAGCGGCAAGCCAAATTATGAATGCTTTTAAAGCCCGTTATATTTACTGAACGCCGCTTTAATAAAAGAAGGGATTACCGCTTCGGCGTTTTTTGTAAAGCGACCGAAAAAAATGACATTTGATCCCACTTCCGCCGAAACTAGAGAGAACAGTTATGCATATAGCCTCACACCCTTCCGCCACGGTCACCCATGCAAAATTACGTCACCCACGCCACCCTTCTTGGAAAACGACTCATATCCATTTGACTGCTAATCCTTGCTGGTTCAATCAGTATTCTCACTGAAAATTAAAGTGGGTCAAGAGGAATCCGGCTGAACTGAATCAAGGAAAACCGTGAGTAATATTAAGCACTTCATGGTCTGTTATTTTAGTACTGTAGGTATCATGAACCAGATCACCACTTCATTTGAAAGTCTTCACTCCGCGGTCTTCGCAAAAAGGTTCACAATTCGGAGTTCAAGCTACACGATTTAATTGAAATAAAAGTTAACTTCTCTTTTTAAAGGCAATCTTGAGAGCCATGCCGATTAGACGCGGCAGTTCCCGGTTGATACTGTGAATTAAAGTGAACTTAAAAAATACTCTGGTCAATACTTTTAGTCAGAACTAATCAGTAAAGCACGTAATTCGAGTTTTAAAATGGCGCGGGCAAGTTTGCTTGTTTGTTTTTGTCAGCAGTACGTTTTTAAAATGCTGTACGTCTCAGCTTGTTTGGACTGTTATCTGTTTCGTAACAAAGAGCTGTCAGTCGCCGAAATTTTTAAGAATTCAAACATTTGGGTTTCATTCAATCACCACATTTCTATTTTTATTCACCCGTTGAAGGCTCCGCGCTTGTTGAATTATTCATTTTTCAAAGTTTTCAAATTTTTCAAATTTTGCATACCGGTAACTTGTTTGGGGGCGCCGGACTACCGCATTCCAGCGCATACCGGCCAAGAGCACCGGAACAAGATACTTGTGAAAATTTGGGGGGAGGACAAACAGAGTGTATTTTGCATGGTGCTCTGCTTTGTTAATTCAGTGTACAATTCGTAAACCATTCCAAAGAGACTTAGAGGTTTTAGATTAAGCAGCCTTTTTTGCTTTGAACTGCAACAGTGATCTGTTTGTCAGAGGGCTTGGACTAGGCGGAGAGGACCCTGGGAACGACTTTAGGAGAACATGTTACACACTTTTCTCTTTCAGTGCTCCACTTTTCCCAGCCTTATACTGTAATCAGTTTTTCAGCATAAATATTGTTTGCAGTTTCATGTGTCACGGTCAATGTAGACCATGTGCCGGGGGGTATACTTCCTTACAAGATGGGGATGTGCCGCTGGATGGGTCCGTATTTTCACGACTGGATTGACTATAACGGGGACGCATTTTCAATAGAGTTACTAGAGATCACTAGAATGGGACCCAAGTGCCCCTCCCCCCCGGGACCATGTGACTTCTCTTTGTTTTGTTTACTTTTTGTTTACACTCCAAATTTTCGGCGAGATGGAACTAATTTACATTTCTAGGCCTGTGACACTGAGTTTTCAGTTTTTCAGTTTTCAGTTTTCGTTAGAACGAACCCCCCGCTGAGTCAAATTTTTCACTTGATCGAATGCTACATGTTTACCCGAAGGTATTACAAATACAATCTTAATTACTTGATTGAAGCGTGATACGTGAGCCAAATGGAACTCACAGCTATTTTGTTGACATGACATGGGTGTAATTGCTTGCTGTGACCTTATTAGGCCAGCGGAAACATTCGAGAAGCTGCTAAAATAATCGAATGTTTACTCGATTAGTCATATCCGCTAAAAATGAACTAAGATCCTTAAAACTATAAAAACCATTAAAAAAAAAGGGAAGAAAATGGATTGAACTTCTTCTGGCAGGCTTTGTATGAGTTGATTTAGTCGGCGATTTCTCACAATACTTATGTCATTGTTTTTAGGACCACCAAAGCTGTACCCAAGATGAGCTTGAAAACAATGTCACGATTGCCACAGATTTCTGTAACTTCGCCACGGGAATCGATCAAAAAGGCAATATTTTTTCCTTCAAGAGGAAACGTGGCCAGAGAAAAAACTGACCCCCTTCCGAGTGGAGACAATTCGTCTGAGAACAAAATTTTAAAGGATAAAAATTCGGAAGCTGTAAACAAAAATAACACGCCGTCTGTTTTGCTTCGCGTGAAACCAAATCCACGACAAGTTGAGCCGGGTCATCTCATCACGGATCAGTACGTGCCTAACAAAGAAAATGTGTTAGATTATCGATATCAGCAGCGTCACAAAAAGAGCGTCATCATAACACGCGAAGGTCTCGCTCCAGCTAGCAAAGCCCGTGAGCGAGAACACGTTTCTACAGTTTCTGGAAACATGTCTGGCGGTAAAACACAGCCAAAGAAAGTCATAGTTACAGCTGGGTCTTTGAGGGCGCGAGATCAATCCTTTCGGGCAACATCCTCGGGCAATGAACAATTCAGGGGTGTTATTTCAGGACATGGCATGTCTCGAGTTCAAGACTCTGGTCTACCTAAGTATACCCCAAAAGATACAGATAGACTTTCAAGAAATTCAGTCAGTGTTAAAGGAATCAGCAAGTCCAAGGAAATAGTAAAAAAAGAGGAGAAGTTAAAACCACAGGTTCATCACGCGCTTCTGCATTCAAAACATAGCGGAGGGCACGAAGAGCGAACACGAAGAAGAGTTTCACCCGGATCACCGCTGAAACAAATGACTGATGAATCTCCTTCGAAGGGTGGAAGGAGATACTTAAATATCAGTCCGAAACCTAAAGATTCTGGAATTGAAAGAAAATTGAAAACTCCGAAAAAGGTTACACCGATTCCTTCTCCCGCTGCGCGCCACGGGCAAAACGACGATTCCGCCAGGGGAAGTTCAGAGGATCTGGTCCCAGTCATGGAGTTACCTAAAGTAACTATGAATGAAGTGCTACAATCATGGAATATAGGACCGGCGAGGAACAGAACATCAAGTCTCGCGGGAAAAGACCCAATGGAATTTTTATTATCGAGGGAGCGCTCCGATTCTGAGCCGAAACAAAGAACGACAACACTCGAAGAACTCCGGAGATGTCGATACTTACGAACAGGCGGAAAAGACGAACAAGAGCTCAAACACAGTAAAATTTGTTCGTGCAATTCATGTGAACATGGGGAAGGCTTGAAGAGCACGCCATATTTAAATTCTTAGTGTGCATTTTAATTTGTCATATTTCGATTAGCTTCCTTTTGGGTTATCGTTAATTGGCCTGCGACCTTTTTGCTTTCTTTGACCTTCTATCGTTAACATAACAAACCACACAATTTTAACAAACAATTGAGTGAGATAATGTCGATATTATTTTTTCTTTATTTATATTGTATTTTAATATTGGTAGTGTTTTAAGCCAATAATTTTCCTATTGTTGCGTTAACCTTATAAAAAAAATCAAGCGTACACGCACGACCGCTTGTTTCCTTTCACGTTTTTTTAATCCTTGCGTTTGTGTGCAGTCTTCTTTCTTTTTTGGCAAATAGAGGAGGGATTGTTTTTATTCTACATGAATTGTAGAATAATTGTAGAATAATTGTAACAGAAAACTGTTTTGTTAACCTTTCCTCTTATTAAAAGGGAATAATTATGAGTAGACAGATATATAAATGGTAGAGTAACGGCCTGTTGATAGTATTGCAGACACTTGTTACATATCGGTTTTAACAAAGTAGAAGGCAGATGATTTTGAGGTTCGGCCGAGAAAATAAATTTGAAATGATTTCAGTCTACTCAGAATCTTTGTTATACTATTGAGATGCCAACTGAGTAATCTTCCACCAATATGTATAAAACAGGTTACCTTTAACAGCTAGAGTTCGGTGATTTCCGCCGCTTTTTTTCAAGCATTGATTATACTCATCCATAGTTGTCAATATACGGTAGCTCTGTATAACTAAGATGGATATTTATTTGGATATTTTTATCACGATGTACAGGAGAGTGGAATTGTGTAAAAAAAAGCTATATTTACAATGAATTGAATAAAGTTTGATTACAAAGTTTTTGGTTTTCTGTTTCTTTTTTCTTAAAAAAAATGCATAAAATTTATATATTGTATGCGTAGATCTCATTTCTAATCGGATTATTAAGCGTTCGATATCGCCCCACGCTATACTATTGTTTTTTAATAGATTTTTAAAACCTTTTTATCCTCTGGCTCACCGTCCTAAGGGCTTGCATATTTTTGGTAAAAAAGAAGGGACTTTTAGGATTCAGATCCTGTAACAGGTAGTGTTTACTAACGGGCAGTCGTACTTTTGAGAGCAATGGAAAGGGGTATAGTCAATTGATGATAGCTGTTGATCCTGCCGTTCATGATCGCCATAAACGCTGATTTTTTTTGTTTTTTTAAAAAAAAATACTGAACCGTGCATGTGAATGTAACGCAAAATATATAGTAGCCACATTCAGCTTAATGTCAACCGTCACTGCATCCTGGCTTCCTGGAAGACGGTCTCCCAGCCCAGTATATGTTGGCGAAAGTACGTCACCGTTTCTCGAATTGAACGTAACGTTGGTAACGTTCATGATGATATCGAGTTGGAGTTTAAAGGGGAAATGACTAAACTAAATTGACATAGAGTAAACACAAACTGCTTACCTTTGCNGGTAAAAAAGAAGGGACTTTTAGGATTCAGATCCTGTAACAGGTAGTGTTTACTAACGGGCAGTCGTACTTTTGAGAGCAATGGAAAGGGGTATAGTCAATTGATGATAGCTGTTGATCCTGCCGTTCATGATCGCCATAAACGCTGATTTTTTTTGTTTTTTTAAAAAAAAATACTGAACCGTGCATGTGAATGTAACGCAAAATATATAGTAGCCACATTCAGCTTAATGTCAACCGTCACTGCATCCTGGCTTCCTGGAAGACGGTCTCCCAGCCCAGTATATGTTGGCGAAAGTACGTCACCGTTTCTCGAATTGAACGTAACGTTGGTAACGTTCATGATGATATCGAGTTGGAGTTTAAAGGGGAAATGACTAAACTAAATTGACATAGAGTAAACACAAACTGCTTACCTTTGCACTCTCCTTACTTCTTTATTTTTCTGCCAGGCCGAAATCTTCAAAAACAACCGTACCAAGCGGATTTCGGAAAGAGTCGCGAGACCGGCCTGAGGTGCTCCGGTACTCTGAGCTCCTTCCCGACGAAAATACGTCTCCTATCTGAACTAAGATGAAACATATTAGTAATTTTGTGCTGAAAATCCGATTATCATGCGCTTTATTTGAGTGTCAATGTATTTAGCACGAAAGTACTAATTAGGGACACTAATTTTACGACTCCAACTGGAGACGGGACCGCCATTTTACGTGGTCATATCCGAGCCACGCGAAGGTCCATCCAGCCGCTTGCAGTGCAAAGGGAGTAACTCCATTTCTCAGTTATCATTTAAGACCCTGAGTATTTATATGGTCCGGCCCCGCCGGGAATCGAACCCGCGACCTCCCTCTCTCATTGCAGTCAAGTGCTCTACCGACTGAGCTAATCCTGCCCATTGCTATAAAAGGGGCAAATAGAAAAGTCACTCACGATGGATTCTGGCCGAGGTTCAGTTGGCTTGGATCGCTGATACTATGGTCAAGATGATGTCTATGTATTTTCAAGGTCCGCAAATGTTAGTCTCTTGACTACTCTCAATCTCCGGTGATCTGAATCCTGGGCTTGTATTATGTCTTGTGTAGAACAATGCACAAGCTCAGTCGGTATCCCTATCAGACTAAAAGGGTTTACGTTTTGCAAACCCTTCGGGCCTCGGCCAAAATTTCCCCCCGTTCCCCGTACACCCGACGACTTTAACCAGCAGGTCTCGACCACTGAGTTAAGTTTTGAAAATTACCTCAAAAACCGTTAGTCCAAGATCATTTGTCTTATACTGGCGAAGACAGACATAAAAAAAAACAGTCGTGCTTTTTTCATCATTATTATTATCCCGAATCTAGCTCCTGTTCCTCTCATATCATCACGGACAACATGGGCTCCTGCTAAAGATCGCTAATATAAAATCCCGAATCCCGACATCTTCCCTGCTAACAGAAGCCGTTTTTCAGGGAAAAGAGGCTCTCTTAGCGGGGAACTCGAAATTTAATCGAGCAGAATTTTCTGAGACAGAAAAGTTTTGGGGATTTGGGCGCAGGACCTGGGCTCAGTATTGACACGCTTCTAGCGCTCAAGTAAGTGCCACCGAACTGCGTTTATCAATGGCAGCAGTCTCTAATAAAGCAGGGGCACCCAACGAGAATACATTTCAAAACCACTTAAACAAAGCATGTTAAACGTATTTTGGTATTCAAACGGCAGTCTAGTGATCCGAAAATTATAGGGATCAAAACTGACCTTTTCGAAAATTTCAGCCAGAAAAAAGGCTCCCGAAAATTCTAGGTGACCTTCAGGGTAAAAATCCGTTAAAAAATGGGCAATTATCCATTTTTTAGATGTTCGAAAATCCTAGGAGAGGCAGGCAAGCAAGAAATTATACAACAAATGCTCCGAAAATTCTAGATCTGAAATCGTCTTCCGAACAGATATTTTCGGAAAATTGACTTTGGGAACCCCTTATATAGGAAAAAGGATTTTGAAGGATTTTGAGTTCGCCGATTACCTGCCGATTAGTAAAACGGCGAACTCAAAATCCTTCATATTCGCTCAAAAAACCGCTTCTGACAGTTTTGAGGCAAAATACCAAAAGTAAGGTAATTCAACGAAATAGCAGAGGCAGTGGACCGCGACCGCCATGCAATCTCATGACAATCACGGAAATCAGTGGCGACTGTGAATGGGTATCCTGTGCGAAAGGCGCGGCCACTTTTTATCCCACAATGCTTTGTAAACATGTCTGTGAAGGCGGAAGCTCGCTTCACACTAGAAGAAGCCCGAGATGACAGAAAATATTTAACAGGATGTGAATTGGAATTGTTCTTTTGTCGAAAGACTTGCCTGTGGGGCGTTGCTGCAAATTTTTACCATGAGTTTCGATAGGCAGCATTTGCGATTTTCAGTGGATTTGTCCTCTAAGACAGGACACGAGGCGATCTTGACTCACATCGAAGGAGAACTGAAACATTTGGAGCATGTCAGAGAATATCTCACCAAACGAGCTAAAGTCGAACTTGATTATGCTTCAGCTTTGACCAGAATAAACACGGTTGCTTCTAAGGTTATCAACGACAACGAGAAAGAAAGCCCCATAAGAAAGGTAAAGTTTTCGGTCCTTTAAACTTTATGTTTCTATATGTTTAGTTCGGAGATAATCGACCGGTGTGGTGGGCTTGATCATTGATTCTTCAATTTGATTTCGTATCCATCGGAAATCGTTAAGAAATCTTGCTGAGTATAAAATCATGGCAGTTTCGTTTTAACGAAATTTTTCTTATTTGGTTATTGTTTTATTATTGTGTATTTTTATGTATTGTGGGATATTATGCGGCAGCAGTTCGCAGTAAGCTTGTTTTCATTTTAATTGCGTTCATCACATTCTTTGGCCCTCCGATGCCGAATGTTATGTCTTGTTTCTGTTAAAACCCGGCAGTGTTCCATTTTATCTTAAGGTTATTTGTTTCGTCTTTTACTCTCTGTCATCAGCCCCTACTACATAAATTTCAAAACTTTCTGTTATTATAATAACATATTAGTTTATTTATATAGTAGTTATAAAATTATTTGGTATTTGACTTCCCTGACAATGTAGGACTTGCAATGCAAATTTATCATTTTTGAAGGTTAAGCCAACCAATATTGCAACAGTAGATAACTTTCTCGAAATTCGTGGGCTAGTTGATATTTGTTGAAGAAAATGAAATGTTCACCCAGAAAATGCAATTTTTGTATTGAACAACACTTACAGGATATACATGTATTTTTATGTGATTGAACTAAGCTTTCCTTTGTCCAATTCTTTTTTCAGGTTATCTATTTAAAAAAATAAAATGAATATGAAAAAATAATAATTATTCATCTTGTATTCTAATACACTAACATTCAGAAATTGTGGAGCACATGTATCAAAATTTCCTTCAACCTTTTTCGCAGTATGATGGTATTGCTGTATATCTGCCTGTTGCAGGCTGGAGAAAATGCATAAAACAGAGTTTTTTATTTTAATTTATGATCTCATGTTGAGGTTGTAGACTTGCCAATTCTGATAGTCCCTGCTCTGACATGCAATTTTGTGGCAGCTGTTTACTAATATCATTCAATATATGGGTTATAAATAGAACTGTAGCTTAAACTCCATTATCAAGGTGTGATTTTGCAGTGTCAGCATTTAAGAAAATAGGCTTGAAATATTTTAATATCTGACTGTTCATTATAGATATGCTTTGTATTGCTCTGTTAGTCATCTTATAGCATTGGCTAACATACTGTATGAAATTCCAAATCTATAGTTTGTGGATGTAAGGCTGGAAATTTTATTCCTAACTAAACTAATATTAATATATATTTCAGTAAGTACATTATTTGAGAACACAGCACAAGGTATTTATTATGCTAATTTATAAATACCTCGAGGTCTGGGGCAAGGGGCATAATTTATTGGTCTTGTAAAAAATATATCATATATGTTTTATTTTACTTGCTCAGAGCCTGTTTTCAGTGTGAATATGTAATAATGTATTAATGAACAGAAATATTACACATGTAAGTTTATTTCAGTGGGCTGTTATCTCATTTTTTTACCAGGCTTGGGGCACATATATTGCAGAAAGTGAAACAAAGGCCAAGTTGATTACAGAATTTACCAACATTTTGAATTCTACTACATTAAAAAGACTGGACCAGCTTATTGAGGACAAGAGAAACTTATTGAAAGTGTACAGGATTGAAAAGTTTAGAGTTGATAGTGGCTGCAAACAGGAATCTGATGAAATTGACAGACTAAGAAAAACTTACCAAGACAACGCGAAGGAATCTGAGACTGGGAAAAGAAAATATGAGGAAGTTCGTGCAAAGGATAAATTAAATGGCAAAGACTGGGAGCGTTCTAAAGATAAATATGTGAAAACGACTATGAAACTTCATCATAATCATAATGATTATGTGCTAGCCCTGAAATCAGGAAATTGCCACCAAGGATTCTATAACGATGTTTTTGTTCCTACAATGTTAAATTCTTTACAATATTTGCAAGAAGAGTATGTGGAGGAATGGTAAGTTTTAACTGGCATAAATTATGTAACAAGCCACAAAAGCCACTCGTACTAGTCAGTCCTGAAGACTAATAATTATTACAGTTATTGCTTGCAGCTTTGCAGTTTTGTTGCACTGATTGGATTTCTGCTTCCAATACAATTACAAAACCATAACATAACATTCCAGAAAAGGTTCTGGTGTTCACAGTTTTTTGAGTCTTAACAGTAAAAGCTTTTATTGGGTCCATATTTTTTATGCTGAGACTAAGAGCCATAAAGTTAGGGGATACAGTGAACTAAGTTCCTCGTTAGACACCTCACAAGCTATAAAAGTATATTTTACAAACACCTCACTTAGACAGGGCTAAGAGACATGAATTCTAGCTTGTCTTTTGAACAACCAGCTCTCCCCTTTTTTCTTGCTCAGAGCCATTGCTTGCTTATATTTAGTTAATGGTTTAGCAACTTGATTGATGACTTATGTAGACCCTTGCCTGTTCGGCATTGTAAGCTTCACTCTTTAAGCTCTAAAAAATAAAAGCACTTTATTTGAGTGTCAATGTATTTAGCATGAAAGTGTTAATTGACAACACTATTTTTTTACGTCTCCTACTGGAGACGGGACTGCCATTCTAAGTGGTCATCCAAGCCACGCGAAGGTCTACTACCGGTTTGCAGGGCAAAGGGAGTACCTTCATTTCTCAGTTATTTTAAGACCTTGAGTATTGACCCGGCNGAGTCTTAACAGTAAAAGCTTTTATTGGGTCCATATTTTTTATGCTGAGACTAAGAGCCATAAAGTTAGGGGATACAGTGAACTAAGTTCCTCGTTAGACACCTCACAAGCTATAAAAGTATATTTTACAAACACCTCACTTAGACAGGGCTAAGAGACATGAATTCTAGCTTGTCTTTTGAACAACCAGCTCTCCCCTTTTTTCTTGCTCAGAGCCATTGCTTGCTTATATTTAGTTAATGGTTTAGCAACTTGATTGATGACTTATGTAGACCCTTGCCTGTTCGGCATTGTAAGCTTCACTCTTTAAGCTCTAAAAAATAAAAGCACTTTATTTGAGTGTCAATGTATTTAGCATGAAAGTGTTAATTGACAACACTATTTTTTTACGTCTCCTACTGGAGACGGGACTGCCATTCTAAGTGGTCATCCAAGCCACGCGAAGGTCTACTACCGGTTTGCAGGGCAAAGGGAGTACCTTCATTTCTCAGTTATTTTAAGACCTTGAGTATTGACCCGGCCCCGGGAACCGAATCTGTGACCTCCTGCTCTGCAGTCAAGTGCTCTTCCGCCTGAGCTAATCCTGCCGCATTTGAAGGGTTAAATCTTAAGAGTGCCTAATATCCAGATTCAAATTCTCCAAAATAATTTCGTTACATTTACTTCAAGACTTAGGCAAGAGAATTTGATAAAAGATCACAGAATTCTCTCTTACATGTAGGTGATCATCTTAATAATTCTCATAACCTCTTCTGCTTGATTATGCATTGCTATTGTTAGGAGAAAATTGATGATGGTCACTCTTAACCCTTTAAGCCCCAAGATCCACATTCAAATTCTCCGGACTGATCTCCATACATTTCCCATAGAACAAGTTGAGAGAATTTGTTAAAAGATCAAAGCATTTTCTCTTAAGTGATCATTTGATTAATTTTTTAACCTTTTCCGCTTGATACAGTAAGAAGAAAATTGCTTTTGGGACTTAAGGGTTATAAAATAAAGTTACTCACGCAACCAGAAAATCTTCTTATCCTGAGAATTTAACCAGATGGGACTTATTTCCAGCTCTTGTAGAGTTGGTGCCTGCAGGTTTTCAGTCATTTTCTTTGAGTTCACTCTATAAAGGTGGACACCTTTGTGATGAGACAGGCTATCAGTGTTGGTGCCTGCAATAGTAAGCTTATTTAGCAACAGAACAGAAATGTCATTTGACAACGGTAAAGTGCGCGGAAAGGACTAAACTTGACTTCCGGTGCCCAATTTGCCGCTCTACTTTTGGTCAAGCCAGCTGTTTGCTTTGCGTGCGCTGTCGTCAATTGACGTTCCTGTTCTGTTGCTAAATCAGCCTAGTGTCCATCTTAGAGAGAACTGATTATATTTTGTTGTTGGATTTGGGAAACGTCTTTTGCAGGATGTTTTGGTTCTTCTGCACTTTTTCAGTCATTTTTCTTTGACTTCTCTCTATAATTACTTTAGGCGCACACCTTTCTGATGAGACACGCTATTAGTGTTGGTGCCTGCAATAGCATTTATCTTAGAGAGAACTGACTGTAGTTTTTTGTTTCATTAATTTAGGAAAGATGTGCTGCAGGATGTTTTTCATCTTACAAACTGTTGCCGAGAAGAGTATATGTCATCAAGCCAAGCAGTACAGGCCAGTGTCACGGAAGTAAAAAGAGACCAAGAGTATGCAAACTTTATCAATAACAACAGGTATTTTATGGATGGTATTAATACATACACCTTGGTGAAAAAATATGGATGGAAAAAGGTTAATGATCCCCCCAGACTGCAAAACGGTCAGGTTTTTTCTCAAAGTCGGTCCAGTGTAGTGTAAGAGTGAGGCCCTATGGGCAATTGACTGTCCGTTTTCCATACAATGAGTTTGTTCTGACCAGGGGATTCAAAAATGTTGTCAAGCTGTCAAAAATCTATTCACAACTCCTCCCTCTTTGTAAATTTGATACACCCAGTGGCTTCAAATCTTGTGTTGAATGCTGTATCCAGTCTTGAGCATTGTTTCTGTGTGCAATGTATATAGTGTTTTCTGGAAGTTCCAAAATGAGCAGAAGTGGCAGTATGCCAACAAAGCCTGTTCCTGCTCCTCAAAGAGGGAGAAAGCCAAGCCAAGTGCTGCAGATAATTGTAGAATGTGCAGCTGTTGTTTCAAAGGACAGTTCGGCAATTTAAAGAGTGGCTGGATTATAAGCACTGAAAGTATGTTTGTTGCCCCTACTATAAAAAAGGTGAAACATTACCAAAGTTGGCCGACCTTCTGATAAATAAACTTTTTGTTGTCCTCAACGAAGGAGAACCTTTGTCCACAAGAGTTTTCTTGCCTGGCTAATTAGAAACTGTGCTGTGACGCTTTTGCCAATGAGAGAAAAACGGGACATGCCAACAGATAATGACTTCATCACAGTAGGGAACATCGTGAATGACTTGTTGGATACATAACTTGACAGCTTGTAGCTTGCATCAACATTTAGCCAATAGGAATTGCCCATAATGCATGGCTGGGAGAAGTGGGTGAGATCAAACAAATATAGTGTATGTAAAATGGACAGTCTGTATTTGTAGTGTCTCTCCCAGTCTGGCTCTCAGTTTTCAGCCTAGCTCTAGACCTTTTGTTTGACTTTTCACACGTACGTGAACATGTAAAAATACGCACTGTTTTGCAGTCTATGATCCCCAGAAACATGAGTTTTTACTACCCTAGATGTTTGCTAGTAATTAATAATGCGCTACAGTCAGTGTCACATACTTTTTTAATAATTATAAGACAGCAGTTATAGGGCAGATTATCTTCACAGAACAAGTTTGTCCAGATTTGTTGAAATAAACATTCATATTCATTCACATTTCCATACCCATGACTGCTGTAGTTTGACACTTTCAAAAAATATTCACTTGAGGTCTAAGTAAATTTAAGTACCTCTGTCCCTTATATAACCTGTGCCACAGAAGAAACTAAACTTCTGTTCAAGTCAGTCTGCAAAACAGTGCTGAAAGTGCTGAAACCCTTTTTCTGGGCGGCACCTCAGGCTTGTCCGATCCGAACTAACTCTCACTTGACTTTAAATCATTGTTGCACTGCTGCTACTTTTTGGTCCATAACTGTAGAAATTGACCACAAGATTGTTGTTTCATCTTTTTTCTCCTTTATTTTCTTGCAGACAGAATCAAAAACCAGCTCTAGCATTCATCTTTGATCCGTCTCTTCTTCAACTGACATCAACAGGGGTAACAGCTGATGAATTAGTGTTGAACGATTTGACTATGGAGAAACTTGAATACAGGTGTGTTTTGATTCTTGAATTTGCTTTTTCATTGTGTCCCTTATTCTGACTACCGGTAGTTATCCATAGTTTCACTCATGCACTTGTTAACCATATGCTAATATTAATTTTCTAAAAGTTCAATCCAGTTGAACCTTCATGCATATGTGCGATCACCTCCCCTATTAAAAGTGCCATAACCACCTCCCATACGGGAACACCTATCCCAAACCCCTATGAAAATTATAATATTTTCCTAGTCAAATCACTATTGTAGCAAGCTTGCGTAAATGGTCAACTCTCATAAGCAACCAGGACCACTTTTTGAAGAGACAATTTTTCCATTGTTTTTACCCTCTAGTAAGCGACCACTCAACGCATGGTCTGATCTCTATGTTCACTATATGTACTATGCTACTTCTAAGGAACTTTTAGTGAGAACAGTAGAGCTCAATATGATTATAGCAACTTATTAGAAATTGCATGCAGTAAATTCACCTTCAAAAAGTATATGTGTTGGGACCCTCTGTGGTTGGATTCTTGTAAGTGACCACTGAATCTTCACATTTTGATTGATTGCTTATGAAACTTTGACTGTTTTACTTGTGGGTTTCTAATTTGTACTGCCTTTCTCCTAGGAGAAATTATCTTACCAAGGAAATTGAAACCATCGAAAAGCAGCTTGAAGCTAAAGTGAGTTTTACTGTCAAACTCAGAAAACTGTGAACGGCTGAAATGTAACGTTGGTAACGTTCATGATGATATCGAGTTGGAGTTTAAAGGGGAAATGACTAAACTAAATTGACATAGAGTAAACACAAACTGCTTACCTTTGCACTCTCCTTACTTCTTTATTTTTCTGCCAGGCAAATCTTCAAAAACAACCGTACCAAGCGGATTTCGGAAAGAGTCGCGAGACCGGCATGAGGTGCTCCGGTACTCTGAGCTCCTTCCCGACGGAAATACGTCTCCTATCTGAACTAATTATAAGATGAAACATATTAGTAATTTTGTGATGATAATCCGATTATCATGTGCTTTAGTTGAGTGTGAATGTATTTAGCACGAAAGTACTAATTGGGGACCCTAATTTTACGATTCCTACTGGAGACGGGACCACCATTTTACGTGGTCCGAGCCACGCGAAGGTCCATCCAGCCGCTTGCTGTGCGAAGGGAGTAACTCCATTTCTCAGTTATCATGCGATCTTCCGCTCTGCAGTCAAGTACTCTACCGACTGAGCTAATCCTGCCCATTGCTATAAAAGGGGCAAATAGGAAAAAAGTCACTCACGATGGATTCTGGCCGAGGTTCAGTTGGCTTGGATCCCTGATACTATGGTCAAGAGGCCCGTATCTATTTTCAAGATGCACAAATTTAGTCTCTTGACTACTCTCAAATCTCAGATGACCTGATTCCTGGGCTTGTATTATGTCTTGTGTAGAACAATGTACAAGCTCAGTCGGTATCCCTGTCAGACTAAAAGGGTTTACGTTTTGCAAACCCGTCGGGCCTCGACCAAAATTTCCCCTCAGTCCCCGTACACCAGACGACTTTAACCAGCAGATCTCGATCCCTAAGTTAAGTTTTGAAAATTACCCCAAAAACCGTGGGTCAAAATTCGTTTTTCTTATTATCCCGAACCTAGCTCCTGTTCCTCTTATATCATCACGGACAACATGGGCTCCTGCTATAAAGATCGTTAAAATCCCGAATCCGGACATTTTCCCTGCTAATAGAGGCCATTTTTCAGGGAAAAGAGGCTCTCTTAGCAGGGAACCCGACATTTAATCGAGCGGAATTTTCTGAGACAGAAAAGTTTTGGGGGTTTGGGCGCAGGACCTGGGCTCTGTATTGACACGCTTTTAGCGCTCAAGCAATTGCCACCGAACTGCATTTATCAATGGCAGCAGTCTCTAGTATAACAGGGGCGCCCAACGAGAATATAGTTCAAAACCACTTAAACATAGCATTGTTAAACGTATCAGTTAGCATTTAAACGGTAGATATAGGCATACTTTTAGTCCCTAAAAATTTTTCTTCTATTCGGATTTCCTACCTGAAAGTGTAGTGATTATAGGGATCAAAACTGACCTTTTCGAAAATTTCAGGCGCCAGAAAAAAGGCTCCCGAAAATTCTAGGTGACCTTTTTAGGGTAAAAATTCGTTAAAAATGGGCAATTATACCACTTTTACATGTTCGAAATTCCTAGGAGAGGCAGGCAAGCAAGAAATTTTGGAACCAAAGGTTTCGAAAATTCTAGATCTGAAATCCAACCTCGTCCCCAGGGCTTTTCCCTAAATTTTTTTTTAGGGAAAAGCCCTGGGGACGAGGTTGTCTGAAGTCGTCTTCCGAACAGGTATTTCCCGAAAATTGACGTTGCATTGATTTTGAAGGAGTAAACGGCGTACTCAAAATCCTTCATATTCGCTCAAGAAACCTCTTTTGACAGTTTTGAGGCAAAATACCACAAGTAAGGTAATTCAACGTTTATTTAACATAGCAGAGGCAGTGGACCCCCTAGCCTCCCCCGCAGGCGTTTTTAGGGGAAGAAATACGATCTCCCCTAAAAACGTCTGCGGGGGAGGCTATGGGCCCCCATGCAGTCTCATGAAAATCACGGAAATCAGTGGCAACCGTGAATGGGTATCTTGCAGGGCGGATAAAGGTTGGGCGGTGAAACGAGCGCGTCCGAGCAAAAAGGTGTGATGCAGTGGACTGGGACTGGGAAATGTCGCTTGTTTTCGACTTCGGTCAGGCTTGTGATGTGGTTTGTACATTAGATACTGCCGCTGTCACTGAATTATGGCAGCTTGATTTATTTTCTTGCACTTCTTCCTCGTTCCTTTGTGCTGGTACGCTGTCTCCGAGAGGCAAATGTTGCTATTTTTTGCGGGAGGTTTAGTTGGAGTAGACAAACATCTCTTTTCAAAGGGTTTCTTTTATTACTTCCATGACTCTACCACTGAATTATATTTTTATTTATATTTTCGTTCTGCTACTCACCAATGTCGATGTTATTTCAAAACAAAAACGACTAAGTACTGTCTAAAACACGAAGGAAAATCTCATCCATGTCATCCAAGGCAAAACTAAATGACAACAGATCTTGTTTCATAACTAGATGACGTGTATTTTTTAAATGCGTGCAGCTCGTGCAAGGTGAAATTATGCTAATTTCAATCACCATCATCCTTCTTTTTAATTTTGAAAAAAACATCTCATACGTCTTTCTGTTTGTTCGAAACTTCAAAATTAGTTTCCCCTCAGTTTTTACTGTTTACCTTGTTTAGTTTTAGAGAGAAAAACTGAGAAAAAACCTTACAACAAACCTCAATAAATT